GTGTATTATTGCTTATTCTTAATTGTGAGCATGACTAACGTTGGTGTATATTATAACATGGTGTCCTAGATTATAATAAATATATATAATAAACAAAAAGGATCGTGCAAGCATTACTCTCTCTGGGAATAGCTTTTATTTTAAGAGATTTAGTTTGTAAACTTATAAACGTATCTGAATTCGATCTAGGGATGGCAATGCGGCGGGGCGGTTTTAAGGTTGTGCAGGGCAGGTGGGATGCGGGTTGCAGGTCTATGCGGGGTTCAAATTTAATTTTAACTTTCTACAATGTTATAAGAGTTATAGAACATTATTTATTAAGATAATTTCTTTAAATTTACTAAAATATTCAAGATAGTAAATGAAAATGATTCAATAAAAACTAATACGATTTCTCACATGATTCTCAATTGGCCTTTAAAAATAAATTTTTAAGTTATTATCTATTAACTCAATATAACTTTATGAGAAAATGAATTTATTTTTATAAAATTTATTTTTAGTATCAAACTGAATTAAAAAAGGTAAATATCCAAAAATTTATGTGGAGCGGGTTCATGCGGGGTGGGGTGGGAGCGGATTGAAAAAGAAAAAAATTGTTATGCCGAGCGGGTTAAAAATTTTGCGGGTTGACCACCCATTGCCATCTCTAGACTTCAACCGATCGCAAAGTTCTCTTTTTACATTTTACATGTTTTGATTTGATTTTACACGAAATTTAAAAATATTAAGAAGAATTTTTGAACTTATTATTAAAATAAATAGATACACATGTGATATTACAATTGATTTCCAGCGTGGGTCATGTTACTGGTTTCCTTTTAATAATTGAAACATATTATTGCTTATTTTTAATTTCTTTGTTGTGAGCATGTGCTGTATATTATTTTGATTTTATGACTCTTTCTTTATACGATAGTGTCTAAATCGTGATCGATTACTTAGGAAATATTATTAAAAAAAAAAAGCAAACAAAATAATAATAATAATTAAAAAAAAAAAAGTTACTTAGGAAATATATAATTGTGCCAATATTCTTTCTTGAAATGGCTTTTATTTTAAAAGAGATGTAGTTTGTAAATTATTTCACGTATCTTAATTTGACCGAATATAATTTTTTGTTAAGAAGTCTCATATCGGTAGAGGGATGGGAAATTGGTCTCCGTTTTTATGGACTTAGATAAATTTCTCCTCATGAGCTAGCGTTTGAGGTTGAGTTAGACCCAGATGTCATATCTTTACATGGTATCAGAGTCAGGTTCATCCCAATTTGTTGTGCATCGATGCTGGGCCCTCATCTATAAGTGTTCACGCTCCAGTTGAGGTTTGGGCGTGCGGGAAGTGCTAAGAAGTCCTACATCGATAGAGCGATAGAAAATTGGTCTCCTTATATGGACTTGGACAAACCTCCCCTCATGAGCTAGTTTTTGAGGTTGAGTTAGGCCCAAGTGTCATATCTTTACGATTTTTTACACTAAGATTTGATCCTAACTAGGGACCCGACTATTGACCCTGACCTGAAATTTGACTCGATGCCTGACTCTCGAACTCGTCTCCTAACCCAACCCTAACCTTATCGAGAAAGCAACTCTCAACCCTAATTCGATCTCGACTCTCGATCCTCAATCCTATATAATTATAACATTTTTGGGTTTAGTATCATAGTATTTTTCATATTATACATAAATGCTCTTGAGATAAGAAAAAAATAAAAATTCTAACCAAACACCATAGAATAAGAAAAACACTTGTATAAAATATTTTCTAGAAAAACATATTCGGCAGAGAACATTTTTTCATACCAAACACTTAGATTTGGAGAATTTGAGAAACTAACTAACTAAATACAAAATTCATTTTTGGTCTTTGATTGATTTCAAATTTTATCTTTGTTTCTATGATTAAGTACATTTGACTTTTAGTTAATCCATATGTGTAGAGTTTGGGCCAACACGAGATTCAATTACTTTTTAGAGAAAATCTTAGAAATAGCAAATATAATAGACATAATAAGGATCTATTGCTATATTTTTCATAATTGCGCTCCTTAGCTATAGTTCTGTTTACTATTGAGGCTGCAATTTGTATATTTATGTCGATTTGTATATTTTGCAATACTAATAAGTTAAATTTTATGAAGTTCATTGATTAGTACCCTATGACCTTACCCATTGTAGTATTAAGTACTCCAATAGAAAATTATACGGCATGAGTAGTTGAGTGACCTCAATCCCTATTAACCGTTGTAGACATTAAGGGCTCGTTTGGTGTGAGGGATTAGAAATAATAGTGATGGGATAAGGAAATAGTGATGGGATAAAAAAAAAATTATGTTGTTTGGTTGGCAAGTCCGGGATAACTTATCCCGGGATTAATAATTAGTACCGGGATAAGTTATCCCTCCCCATGGGTGGTATAGTAATCCCGGGATAACTTATCCCGAGATAGAATAGGTAAATGACAAATATGTCCCTTTAAATCCTTTTTATATATCATTTTTTACATTTATGTATATTTACATTTTTTTTAATACCATGTATAATAATATTTACTACTCCTTATTTTTATGATAATTATACATATTTTTCTATTAAAAAATTATACTATATAAATATAATTTTTATTTATGAATTTATTTGACTAATTCTTATGTTTATTTTATTTTGATTTCTCATAAATTTTCTTCTCTTTAATAAACTTAAGAGGAAAGTTCTATTTTTAAGCTAAATAAGAAAAAAGTTATATTTTTAAATACACATGGTACTTATCATGGGAATACATAAACAAAAATATTTAAGTTAAAAAAAATAAAAGTTTTATTTTAAAAAATGAATAACTAAAGCTCACAAAGAAAAATTTAAAAAGTTTAAATAAAGTGAAGGGTAATTTTGTAAACAAACAACTTGTTCTTAAAATTTATCAATATATATTATTTTGAATATAACAAACCAAACACTCAATAAGAAATAATCCCAGGACAACTTATCCCATCATAACTAATCCCAACATAACTTATCCCAACATAACTTATCCCATCATAACTCATATTCAAACCAAACGACCCCTAAGGGTGTGTTTGGTATGAAGGAAAATGTTTTCCATGGAAAATGTTTTCCTCGAAAACAAGTTGATTTTTGACTTATTTTCTCATGTTTGGTTGGTGAGTAGAAAATATTTTTCGGAAAAGATTTTTTAGTGTTTGATTTATGAATGAAAAATATTTTTGAGAAATATCTTTTATTTTTACTAGAGTAGAAAATAATTTTTGAAATTGAAAATAGTTTTTAAAAACAAACTTGAATTTTTTTTGGGGGATGGGGGGTGGTAGGGGGTGGGTGAAGGGGGGGGGTCGAGGGTAGGGGTGAAAAATTGAAATTTTGAAGTTGAAAATATTTTTGAAAAACAAACTTAATTTATTTATTTTTGGGAGGGGGGGGGGGGGGCTGGTAGGGGGTTGGGTGGGTGGGGGTCGAGGGTAGGGATGAAAAAATGAAATTTTGAAATTGAAAATATTTTTTAAAAACAAACTTGAAATTTTTTATTTTTTTTTGGGGAGGGGGGGTGGGGGGTTGGTAGGGGGTGGGTGGGTGGGGGTTCTAGGGGTGAAAAAATGAAATTTTGAAATTAAAAATATTTTTAAAAAAAAAACTTAAATTTTTTGTGGGGGGAAGGGGGGCTGGTGGGGGTGGGTGGGTGGGGGGCTGGGTAGGAGGTAGGGGTCAAGGGTAGGATGAAAATATGAAATTTTGAAGTTGAGAATATTTTTTAAAAACAAACTTAAATTATTATTTTTTGGGGGGGTGTTAGGGGTGGGTGGGTGGGTGGGTGGGGGGTCGAGGATAGGGTGAAAAAAATGAAATTTTGAATTTGTAAATATTTTTTAAAAATAAACTCAATTTTTTTTTTTGGGGTGGGGGTGGGGGGGGGGGTGACTGGAGAGAGGGGTGGGTGATCGAGGATCGGGATGAAAAAATAAAAATTGGAAGTTGAAAATATTTTTCAAAAACAAACTTAATTTTTTTTCTTTTTGAAGGGGGTTGGGGGCTGATAGGGGGGTTGATGGGGGGAGGGGGGGCGAGGGTAGTGGGTAGGGGGTAAAATAATAAAAAATTGAAATTAGAAATATCTTTTAAAAACAATTTTTAATATTTTTTTGGGAGGGGGTGGGGGCAGGGGTGAGGGTGGGGTAAAAAAATTGAATTTAAAAACAAGCTTTAAAATTTTATTTATTTTTTTTTGGGGGGGGGGGGGGTTGGTTGGGGGTGGTTTGAGGGTAGGGACAAAATAAATTAATTTTTTCAACAAAAAAATAATTGTAATTTGAAGTTGGAAGAGAGTTTTGGAAAATGTTTTCCTTAAGTTTAGAAGGGAAGTCATTTTCCTTAAATTTGAGAAAAATGAGTTGATTTGGAAAACATTTTCCAAAACATTTAGCCCAACCAAACATGAGAAAATTGGAAAACATTTTCCGGAAAATGTTTTCCTTCATACCAAACACACCCTAAAATTTTGTGGAACTTTACAATATGTGTTCAATTCGAATTGAGACTCTAGAGGGTGTGTTCAATTTCAATTAAAAATTTTGGAGGCTACTCAACCCTAAACCCTAGTTCATGCCTATATAAAGGCATCTCGAATATTCCGCAAACTGATGGAATAGTCATATAGAGGTCAAATCTAAATTATCCTAGCTCGAGAAACACACCATTAACGGCCCTAGAATCATGGATAAATCTTAGGAAAGTAGAATCAAGGGAGAAACAGAATTGTACTCGCAATCTTTATCAATAAAGTTAAGTTCTTTTACTTTATTGTGATTGCAATTTATTTTCTGTCACTTTAAAATTTGTTACAAACAACCGTAAAGTTATATATTTCAAGAAGCAAACTATTAGGTGAATTGAGACTAAACTCAAAATCAAAACTGAAAGTTTGAAATATTCAAACTGATTACACTAATTAATACTTTTTTTAAAATATGAGTTAAATCTTATTGCTATTCATTTGTTGTTACAAAGTGCAACCAACTCCTCCACTACTCCATCTATCTCTTCATCCCCTTTCATATTCATTTTCTCACTCAATTCTTTAGTTTTCTTCCTCACACCTTCACCACTTTCTTCAATTACCACTTCCCTTATCACTTTTGCAATTTCTTCGCTTTGTAACTTCCCATTCTCATCCCTCAATGCTTCAACTCCCATACCAATATATTCCACAATCCTAGCATTCATTGGTTGGTCAATATGCATTGGCATTGCAATTATAGGCACACCAAACTTCATACTTTCCATAACAGAACTCCATCCACAATGACTCACGAATCCACCAGTACTCCTGTGTTGTAGAATTGCGGCTTGTGGAGCCCATTTTTCCAAAACCATTCCTCTTTCCCCTACCCTTTCTAAAAATCCTTGTGGTAATACATCTTGAATACTATTTTTTTCACCTTGTGGAAACCTAATTACCCAAATGAAGTTTACTTTGCTAAGCTCTAACCCTTGTGCTACTTCATGCATTTCTTCCTTTGATAGAAAATACTCACTCCCAAATGACACAAACACACTTGAACATTCTTCTTTCTTGTCAAGCCATTGCATGATGATCTCCTCATGATCATGATCTTGATCAATGGAATCTTGAACTAGCGATCCAACAGGAACAATTTTCTTGGAAACTAATTTTGAGAGATAATCTATATATTTACCTTCGAAATCTCTAGAAGTTTTCACCAAAAAACTTATCGCGAGATAGTCTAAGAGCATCATTGAATGGGTCCTTATAATTCTCATCTTTGGATTCTTCTAATGATTTCTTGATTTGAAGCATCTCATGTTCACGCAGGTATATTTCAGGAAATGGAAATTTTTCTCCCGACTTATCAAACATGATGTGGAGAGCTAATAAAGCAACAATAGCCGCTAAAAGTGAGGAATTGTATGGCAGGAATGTTCATAGAGGACGCGAACTCAGCAGCCCATGGTTGATTGAAGTCATAAATGACTAAGTCTGGATTAAGAGTTTGTAATATTTTGGAAAAATTTGGAGAGGCGTTTTCGAATGCTTTTTTTAGGGTGTTCATGAGATGGGGAGGGAGACCATTGGTGGTGTGGTAATGAGGAGGAAGATTTGGTAAAGATGGAAGATGAAGCTCAACTAATTCTATTGATTCACAATATTTTTTTGTGACATTTTTCTTGATGGAACTTAGGTTTATTGGAGTGGAACATAAGTAAATATGGAAATTTCTATTTGTGAGTTTTTTGGCTAGTTCTAAAAATGGACTTATGTGACCATGGGCTAGCCATGGTAACATAAGTATACTAATGGTGTTTTTCTTGGCCTCCATTAGTAAATAGTAACTATAAATCTCTTAATTTTTTTTCTTATGGCTCTAGTGAGTATATATATAGGATGATAATCCATCTATAGTATATATTCAACCGTTTAAATTATTATATTATTTCATGACTTTTCCTTATACGATTGTGTCATATATAGTTGATTTGGTCACCCTCCAACCCTAGCTGTATGGTTAAAAAGTCATATTTAGCTCTCTTAAAATTGTTTCGTATATTTCATTTTGACATTTCAATAGAATTTATACACTAATTTTGACAAAGACGACGACCAAAATATTCAAATATTTCGTCGCATGAAACTCACTGTTGTAGGCGAATAAAACCACGACATGTGGCATATAGACTCAAATTTCTACTTGCGAATTTCTTGGCTAGCTCTAGAAATGGACTAATATGAGTTGTGACCATGGGCTAGAGTCTAGACTGGGTAACGTGTTTTTCTAGCTAGGGTTATATTAATCAGTGACGGAATTAAGATTTTCACCAAAGGAGGTTAAATATAATTTAAAAAGTAAGAAGTTGAAAAAATTGAAAGAGATTCAACATGTACAAATTTTATATATATATATATAATTTTTTATCGAAGGAGGTTCCAGTGAACACCGACACTATCTAACTCCGCCCCTTTCCATTGCTAATTATAATCATAACTATATTTATAGATCTCTCTCTTAAGTCTATGATTATTCTACAAAGTATATATATATATAAATATGATGATCTATTTATAGAATATATTTAACCGTTCAAATTTATTATTTCTCATCTTGGTCGTAATTGATTACGCATGAAATATATATTAAACTCGTGAAAATGAATTATATTTTACTATATAAGAAGAGGGAATAACCAAACACCAATTATTATAACCAATATATTTATAAAAAGAAATGACATATAAAATGAAATGGAGAGAGTATTAGTTTTTGAAAATGGAAAAGGACAAAACACATATGAAATTAAAAGACATATAAAAAAAAAGTTGGTTTAACTCTCAAACATAAAAAGTAACATATGTTATTAAAAACTTTAATAAAAAGTACTATAATTTACAATAAATAATAACTTAAAATATCTACAAGACAACAAAAAAAAGACTAATTTTTGTACTACTTCTGTCACATAAATTAGGATTGGGATGATTTTAAAATTTTAATTTTGGTTATACATTATAAAATAGCCAAAAAATTGAATGATATAATTTTTTTAAAAATAACTGAATGAATCGTCCTATCGATAACCCTAATGTTACTTCTACTCTGTTTATTTTTACTTAAATTTACAAAGATATGCTTCATTTCTACCCTCAATCTTATCGCTACATTTATTTGCTATTTAAATTGAAATTAAAAAGACAAATGACAAATAAGTTTCTATATTAGCTCACTTATGAGCAAAATATATTATAACAATCTTTACTAATTTTATAACAATACATAAACTATACTCCCTCCGTCCCATATTAGATGGGCACTTCCAACTTTACACGGTGATTAAGAAATCATTAATACATTGGAAGACTTCACCATTTTGCCCTTTGTTTATATCAATGCACATTGAAATGAGTTACAAAAAATACACATACAATATAGGAATGGTCATATTAATTGTAGGGGTAAAATGGAAAAGAATTAATTAATTCTATCCTAATTTAATAAGTGCTCAAATAATATGAAAAAAATATTTTTAGTAAGATTCTCATCTAATATGGGACGGAGAGAGTAACAATATAACTTTATTAATGTTGGACCTGGACAGCGCCCGGACTTTCTTTACTAGTATATTTATAAGAAAGAATAAAAGGATTGTGCCATCATTTTCTCTTTGAATGGCTTTTTAATTCTGACTTTATAAAATATTTTACGTGTCCCAAATTGACCGCCGCAAAGCTCTTTTGATTTTGTACGCAAAGAAGTTTAAAACTATTTAATCCTATATACCTAATACATGCAATTCGGGGTGTACAAAATCGAATTGAAAATCGAATTGAAAATCAAATTAAATCGCAAATTGAGTTAATCGGAAAAAAATCTTGATTAGTGGTTTGGTTTGACTTGGTTTGGTATTGGGAAAAAAAAACCCGACTATATTTGGGTTGGTTTGGTCTTAACTAAAAAAAACCAATCCGACATTAAATATGTAATTTTAAAATTTTGTTTTATAGATAAAAATATTTACTTTAATATAATTTTAAAATATTTCTTATACTATTTCATAGTTTTATCTTTTAATATATTATTTCAAGTTTAAAACTTAGAATTCGGAATGGTCCAATAAAGATTATAGTTCATAGATGTTGATAACTATAATAAAACTTAAATCAAAATCAAATTAATACTAATGCAAAAAGAAAATCAATTCAACATTAAGAATGACAATAATATTGAATATTTGTTCTTTAGTTTTACATTGGTTTAGACAATTAAAATACATAATCTAATTTTAATTTTCCTTGAATATTTAGTAATGTAACTAATACTTATTAAACTTATTTTAGCATGATTTAGTACTTTTAAATTATGATCATTTTTATTATGACTTTGCAATTTTTATTTTATATAATGATTTCATTATTATTTTTTATTGAATATTTTTGTGTCATCAGTACTAATCTCATATTTTGTGTTATTTTTTTAAGAAACACCTTAAATAATTGTATTTTGGTTGGACTAAAGAAATATTTGGAGCACAAGTTAATTATATATTTGTATGCAAACTTTACTGAAAAAATCCAAAAATCTGAAAAAATCCGAGGTTTATTAGTTTGGTTTGATTTATAATTTAAAATTTTGACACAATGGTTTGGTTTGGTATTTGAAAAACCTGAACCAACCCGAGGTTGAAAAACCCGAAAAAATCCGAATTTTATTAGTTTGGTTTGGTTTATAAATTTAAAAATTTTACACTAATGGTTTGGTTTGATATTTGAAAAACCCGAACCAACCCGGTCATGTACACCCCTACATGCGATTCATACTAGATATATATATTTATATGTATCTGGTGTGATTCGCATGTATCTAGGATACCAAATACATAGGAGAGTGACGAGCGAGACGGGAGAGAAGCAAGGGAGGCGAATGAGATTTGTCTATGTATACTAGATACATATGAATCCACTTGGATACAATATATCTAGAACAAATCACACCTAACTTTGACCATATGTATCTCGAGATAATATTTAGACACACTAAAATCTGATAAGATTCATAATATCGTAAACTAGAGTGTATTAAAGTAATTAGCTCATAAATTAATGGAATTTCTATAAGTTTCTCTTATACATATGACTTTGCATTCGATTGATTTCCAATTCCTTCTAGAGTAAGAAAAAAAATTCTTTTTGTTCCAATTAGTTTGACACTTTCCCATTTTTTATTCCTCCCAAAAATATTGATACTTTTCTATATTCATAGTTTTAATTTATGGACTTACTCTTTGTTGTTATGTTTAATCACTTGACATATGGAATAATGGAATAGAAAAAAATATTGAAAAAGAGAGTGTATTGAAAAGTATTCCATAGTTGTCTATATTCTATGCAGCTGAAATTGAATGGGAAAATAGTATCCCATATATATAATAGTAAGCTGGGAAAAGGGTCTGAAAAATACTTTAATTTTGGCCGAAATTGTTGTTACGATACCAAACTTTATGGAGGACCTTTTACCCCTGCACTATTTAATAGTGTATTTTAAATGTATATATATGCCCACGTGGACACATTACTATTTATAATGATGCAATATTTATGATGTCCATGTGGGCACATATATACCTTTAAAATGCACTATTAAATAGTGCAGGGGAAAAAGGTCATTTCCAAAGTTTGGTATTGTTACAGCAATTTCGGTCAAAGTTCAGATATATTTCAGACATGTTTCCCTCTATCTATTTATTTTGTCAATGGTCATATTGAATAAAAGAAGAAAGTACTGGGTTTAGATAAATTCGATAGGCACATTCGTCGCCAGAATTTGATTGTTCTACATCTTAGATTTGTTGAGTTCAAGAAAATTAGCTCCAAAAAAAAATAATTATCGATCCTTGACTTAATTGTTTTATTTCTATCGACTTTGATCTTCGTGTTTATTGGTTAAGTATATTTAACTTTTAATTAATTTATACTTGTGATTTTTTATCCCTAAAACTAATTGATGTTTATTAAGAAGTTAAAGCAATCAAAGTGAAGGAGCAATAATACCAAGAGAATTGACAAGAATATTTAGAGAGAGAAAAAAGAGAAGTTATTTTTGTTTGAATTTAATTAAGTGTAGTTAAAGTTCAATAATTTTTTGTCTAATTTTAATTATTATTATTTTAAAATTCAAGCAAAAATGATTGAACTATAGGCTTACGTAAATAGATGAAGTTAAGATAAAAATAATTGAAATTTAGACACTACATAATTTTAGACAATCTTATTTGATCGATAGATTCTAAAGTTGAAACTGCATTTTACTTGAATTTTTTTTTTTGAAATGTTATTAATAGAAGTGTATAAAAGTAAAAGAATTTCTCAAAAATCTAATTTGAACCTGTTTTTAGCCAAAATTTATCGTCAAATAACTATTGAAAAATAATAATTCAAAATCTATAATAAAATGCTAACTATCTCAAATTTAATTTTATCAGACTAATAACTTTAAACTATGCGCTCTAAAGTGACTATACGTAAAAGATGGATACAAATTGGAAAAAACTATTAGTTAGAAATACATACATGCATATCATACCTACTAATCTAATCTATACTTTTAAATAGTTATATATTATCTCACAATTTAATAATTTTATATCAAATTTGAAGTGAAATACATTGACATACATTACCCTTTAAAATTAGTCTAAAATACGATCCTTAATTATCTACCTACTTAATTCTCTCCATAAATTATGTATTTTCTCCTTCAAGCATTGCTCCTTCTTCATGTTCGTCGACTTTGAGATGAGTTTTACATAGAATTCTTGAAGTATTAAAAGTTGAAGTCT